CCACTTGGGAGTGCCCCAGTAGTTCCGGCCAGATGCCACGACATCCAGCAAAGAACCCGGTACCTGCAACGGTTTAGGGTTTCGGGTTTAGGGTTTAGGGTTGTGGCCCCATATTCTTCCCCTTACGGGATTGCATAGGGCACCTCTTTCTCTCATTCCCTACCAAGAGCCAGCCAGAGAAGCCTTTCAGAAGCCGACCGCGGTATGAACAAATGCATGAGCCACCGCTGCTTGAAAGTCAGAAACTGGTTCAAGGTCTCCCTAACCCTCAACCCTAAACGGCCCTAAACCCTAAACTGTCTAAACCCTAAACCGTCTAAACCCTAAACCGCCTAAACCCTAAACCGCCTAAACCCTAAACTTTTAAACCGTCTAAACCCTAAACCGTCTAAACCCTAAACCCTAAACACTAAACCCTGAACCCAAAACCCTAAACCCTAAATCCTAAGCCCTAAACCCTAAACCCGCAGCTTGGGGGAAACCGGCAGCCCCAAAAGGAGCCCCGGATCGCTCGGGTCTGCTACCCGAGCCTCTTTACTCTTGGCGTCAAGTCTTGCTTCGAAGTTTAGGGTTTAAAAGGTTAAAGGGTTTAGGGTGTAGGGTTTAGGGTTCAGGGCTTGCAGGACCCTACCTTAAGGGCCCAATACCTCAAAACCACTTGTGAAGCTGGGCCTTAGAAGGCTTGGGCCTCTTGAGGCAAACCCTGTAGGGTTTAGTGCTTAGGGTTTAGGCGGTTTAGGGCTTAGGGCGTTCTCCCGCCGCAAATCTCCTGAGGCTCGCACCCGGCTGTGCTTTATGTGGCAGGCTTGTGGGCCCGCAGGGGAGAGGAGGATGCCTGGAAGCTTTGAGCGTACTGCAGGGTTTGCAACCCTATGGTAAACCCTAAACCCTAAACCCTAAACCCTAAACCCTAAACCCTAAGCCCTAGACCCTAGACCCTAGACCCTTAACCCCAAATCCGGAGCCAAAAACTGAGAGACGTAGCCCAGGGATGCTCATGGTTCAGGGCAGTTCAGGGCAGTTCGTGGGTATAGGGGTTCAAAGAGTTTACTTGCACCCCACCCGGACCTCTCGAAGGCCTTAAGGGGACCTTGCATTTCAGGCGTTTAGTGCTTTTTTCAAGCCGTTAGACCTGTGTTTATCACTACGCGTCAAGTTCGCCCGAAAGTAGGAGGCATTTCCTTTGAAACCCTGTGAGCCGCATAAGCCCAAATGGCCCCAGAAACCCTTTGAACTCGAACCGCACCTTAACCTTGGTAGCCCAGTGACCATCTCATAAAAAGGGCAACCTTTTTTGGTGGGTTTCCAAAGCCGAAACCCTAAACCCTAAACCCTAAACTCTAAACCCTAAACCCTAAATCCAAAAAGGGTACAGGGTCACCACCGGGCTCCCAAGAACTAGGGAAGCCCCTCGAAGAACTTTCCCCGGCTGGGGCCTGCATTCTCCACGCTCGGCCTTTCCAGGGAAGGGCTTACTGTGGTTGCGGTTTGGGGTTTGGGGTTCGGGGTTCGGGGTTTGGGGTTTGGGGTTCGGGGTTTGGGGTTTAGGGTTTTGGGTGTAGGATGAGGGGTTTGGGGTTTGGGGTTGGTGGTGCCCGGAAGGGTGTTATGGGTAGTTGGAAATAGGGTCTTGTCCTCCTCTTAACTGCCCAAGTGAACCTCCAAGTACCCTAAACCCTGAACCCTAAACCCTAGACCCGAAACCCTAAACCCGAAACCCCAAACCCTAAACCCTAAACCCTGCTCCTCTTCTCTCTGAGCGCAACCACACCAAAGATGCCCAGGGCTCTGAAACGCGCCAACCCAACCCCCCCCCAAAGCGCACGTCGCATCGCGCCTTTTGGCTGTGGACATGCGCATCTGTGCCTCCCGGGATTAGGGTTTAGGGTTTAGGGTTTAGGGTTTAGGGTTTAGGGTTTAGGGTTCAGGGTTTTCGGGACCCAGTCTCCGACAAAACGGAGAACACCTGCAAACGGAGCAGAACCCAGAGAGCCCAATACCCCCTTCACTTAGGAAGATAACTCAAACTAGACAACCCTAAACCCTAAACCCTAAACCCTAAACCCTAAACCCTAAACCCTAAACCCCCCCTCATGCTTGAGGGGGGTTCGGGGTTTCCAGGGTTTTGAGCTCACGGGCTTCAGGGGCTCGATGTCGGAATTTCGAGACCCGGGTTTGAGTTTTGGTCTCGGGGTTTAGGGGTTTAGGGTTTAGGGTTTAGGGTTTAGGGTTTAGGGTTTAGGGTTTAGGGTTTAGGGCTTAGGGTTTAGGGTTTAGGGTTTGAAACTTAGTGGTGCTTGAGGTATTGGAGCTTTTCCTGGCTTAGGGTGGAAGCAGACAACACCTTCACTGTACTGAACTTGGAACCCTAGCAAAAAATATTTTTGCTGTTTCTTAAGAATTCTAGTAATATCAATATATACATATATATATATATTTGTATGTGTATATCAAGTCTCCCTCTGTAAGTGAACCCTAAACCCTCAACCCGAAACCCTACACCCTAAGCCCTATAAAAAGCGGCGTGTCCAGGTCTGGGGCCGCCACGGTGAGCTGGCGTGCTCTCTCGATGTTATTCTTCACCAGCTCCTCGCCCGGTTTAGGGTTTAGGGTCTAGGGTCTAGGGTCTAGGGTTTAGGGTTAAGGGTTTAGGGTTTAGGGTTCGAAGAGGGTTGTTGTGGTGCTTGGGCATTTCGGGGGTCGTATTCGAACACCCCCAAATCCCAAAGCCCTACCATCTAGGAAGCAAGCAGGGACCACGAATAGCCCCAAACCCTGAACCCTTAACCCTGAACCCTTAACCCCAAACTCTACCCCAAGAATTCCGCCCCCGTGGCTTCCTCAACTCCATCAGCGCCCTGAAGGTTTCAAATCCTCGGGGGTACTAGTAGGAATAAAAGGTTTAAAGGCTGTAAGGGAACCTAAGCCATAAAAAAATGAGAATAAGGGACTACTCTGGGCCCTAGGTTAAGAAAGATCAGGGTTCATGATTGGTAGTGTTAAGGTCGCGTCCTGGGGTAAAGGGTGCCGAAAACCTTCAAACGAAACCCTAAACCCTAAACCCTAAACCCCAAACCAAAACCCTAAACCCTAAGCATCCTTGACAAAATCGCTCCTCATTGACCTTGTCGCCGCTGCGTCGACAGCAGCTGAGCACCTGCTCCGTGTTAAGGGGTCTAAGGAGGTTAGGGTTTAGGGTTTAGGGTTGAGGGTTGAGGGCTGAGGGCTGAGGGTTAAGGGGTTAGGGTTTAGGGTTTAGTACTTATAGCCACATTAGGGCACTTAAGGGGCTTATAAGTGGGTCCTAAGTACAATTAGTCATAATTGGTGGGTTTAGGGGTTCCTTCTCGGGGTCCCCTTCTTTAGTTCTCTAGTCATAGGGTATATCGTATATAGGGGGTATATAAGGGGTACCCCTTTCAGGGCCCATACCAAGGGACCATGTCTCTACCCTAAGAAACCCCCTCTGCCCACTGTGAGGGACAGCATGAAATGCGCATGGCGTCGGATGGCCCGGCAACTCAAGTTACAAAAGACGCGGGCCGTAAACTTGACAAGCAATGCTCCAAGCAAGGGGACAACCACTCCATGCTAAAAGCAACAGGCGCAAGTAGCAAACCCAAAACCCAAAACGAAACAAGCTAGACTAGCTGTTCCTTCCAGCAGCCTGCCTCGCGCGCATGCGCCAGCCCGTCCTCCAGACCACTCTTCATCAGACTGCATTTTTGCCATGAAGCCTCGACCCGAATACCCAGCACCCTAAACACTAAACCCTAAACCCTAAACCCTAAACCCCTAACCTCCATAGCTCGATGCCCGACAGCCTCAACCCACAAGAGCCTCGAAAGCGAAGCACAGGCCATCCCAAAGCCCAATTATCCCTTAATTGAGGAATATACATTGAGAGAGCCTTTGTTTAAAGCATAGGCACTGGGAGGCGCCCTCGATCCTACTGCCCGGTTTCTACCCTATCAGCTGGTAAAGCTCTGCCCTATACAGCTGGTAAAGCCCGGTGTACACTTACAGTCTCTACCCCATAACCCTAAACCCCTTGACCCCAAAGAGTCGCTTGTAAAGCTTCCTCCTTTAGTCCCCTTAAAAACATCCACAGAACCCAAAACCCAAAACCGATGCACACATCTAGTCTCCAGTCCATGCACAACTCAGAGGCTCCAATACCCCCTGAGCAAAGGAATATTCCCTTAAACCCTATTCTAATTTAAGGAATATTCTTCCATAAGGTTTGAGGAACATTCTTCCTGCATTGAAAGGTATTGGAGTGGTAGGGGTTTAGGGTTCATGGGCATAGGGCAGTTCGAAGTCGCACTTCTCGTAGGAAGAAGGGTACGTAGAGTTGATGGCAGTCCCAGGGACTGCAATACCCCTTAATTAGAAGTACTCCTGACAGTAGAAGAGGGTTCCTCAAATGGTTTAAGGAATGAATATTCCTTAATGAAGGAGCATTGAAGTCTCTGGCTACTTTACTTGTGGCCCTACTTTTACTTCCTCCAAGTAAGTTCTAAACCAACGCCCGCAACAACTAAGCAACAGCTATCTCATCTTCAGACTTTCGGTCGAAACTTCACTTACATCACCTTAGCTTCTCTAAACAGGGGAACAACCTTTTTAAGTCTTTAGAAACCATCAACATCTCATTTATGTAGGGCCCCCAAACCTACCCCAGTAAACACTAAACCCTACACCCGGCTCATCGAGGGTTTCATGGCGCAGCGTCCTCGAGGTCACCCCGAGTGAAGTAGCCATTCGCGAGGGCGAAGTGCGCGGAACTCAGAACGGGAACGTTCCAGGCGGGTTTTGGCAGGGTTTTGGGGCTTCAGATTTCGAATCTGAAGATTCTCTCTGTACGGTGTTTGTGTTGCTGCTTTCTGGGTTCAGCACCGGCTCTGAGAGGCTTGCACTTGTAGCTACCCGAGAACCTCTAGGTAGAGAAGGGGCTGGGGGGTTCTCAGTGACCTCTGAGCGGGCAGTTTTTTAAGGTCTTACGAGACTGGTGAGTTCAACATTTCCACAAAGGACAGACCGTGGCAGAGGAAAATGTCGGCAGCGTATGTAGGCAAATTCAAGGGGCATGCGGTGAGCTGCAGCCTGCAAAGCATGAGTTGCCCCACACCCAAAATACTTGGTAGCCCAGTAACCATATTATGACAAGGGCACCCTTCTTGGATTGGTGACTTTATAAACGGGAAACCAGAACCAAAGGAGGGTAAAGGTTACCACTGGGCTACCAAGCCATAAGGCCCAGATAACTCACTCTTGACTTTTGAATAGGACGTAATTTGGTCGGATCCCATAAACCCTCAACCCTCATGCCTCAACCCTCAACCCTAAGCCTAAACCCTAAACCCTAAACCCTAAACCCTAAACCCTAAACCCTAAACCCTAAACCCTAAACCCTAAACCCTAAACCCTAAACCCTAACCCTAAACCCTAAACCCTAAACCCTAAACCCTAAACCCTAAACCCTAAACCCAACCAGGCGCCCCCACTGGAGTCCGACGAAGTCGTCGGAGTCCTTGTACAGCCCCAGTGCAGCCTGCCATGGCAGGCTGCTGACTTGTCACTCCACGTGCTTCCCTATTTGGGGGTTTAGGGTTTCGGGTTTAGGGTTTAGGGCTTAGGGTTTGGGGTTCAGGGTTTAGGGTTTAGGGTCTAGGGTCTAGGGTTTAGGGATACAGGGGTTTCCGAAATTAGGGGTATCTTATGGGTGTCCTCATTACAAGGGAATAGGGGCCCCTTATGTTCGTGACCCCCCCCCCCTCCTCCATTTTTCAGACACCCTGAACCCTACTTGGAGGTTTATGGGTACTTATAAGTAGGGTTATAAGCACCCTAATAGGGTCATAAGCAGAGTTGCCATACGTCTAACCCTACTTCTAACTACTCATGAACCTCCAAGCAGCCCTGAAGGCTTGAACCGCAATCCTGAAGGCTGAACCCTGAAGCCCAAGCCCCTAAATCACCGAAACGCCCAAGCCCTAAACCCTACAACCCCGAAGGCCTTGAACCTTAAAAAGCCCTCAGCCCCTGAAACCCCTAACACCCTAAACCCTAAACCCTCAAGAACCCTACACCCCCTAAAACCCTAAACCCCTAGAAACCTACAGCTGGCCTGCAGGTAGCGCATGCCCTCGGCACTCATGGGATTCTCGGCCAGCAGTGCCTGTCCCAGCACCTCAGCAGTAAACACCCTAAACCCTAAATCCGGCCTAAACCCTAAACACTAAAACCAAAACCCAAAACCCTAAACCCTAAACCCTCAACCCTAAACCCAGTGAGGGTGTGTAGGTCACGTTTACTTGGAGGTTCATGGATTCATGGGTAGCCACAAGTAGGGTGATAAGTACCCCGCAAAATGGGGTTATCAGTATAGTTACCATGCGTATAACGCGACTTGTAGCTACCTATATGAACCTCGAGGTAGGGCTTAGGAGGTGGGGGCGAAACCCTAAACCCCAAACCCAAGGTTGAGGGTGTAGGGGTTAGGGCTTTTAGGGTTCAGGGTTGGGGCGGGGGGGGGGGGGGGGGGGGGGGGTAGCAGAGGAGATGGTGCTCAACAGGTCGCTGCAATTTAGGGCTTTCGGAGTTTTTGAGACTTTGGGGTTTAGGGGGATTCGGGGATTTCAGGGCTTAGCTTGTCTAGGGCTTCGCGGCCTGCAAGGTTTGGGGTATTTGGGGAGAGGGGGCGGGGCAAAGAGTCCAACAATTAACGCGTAGACACTTCAATCATCTTAAGGATCCCCGAAACCCTAAACCCCAAACCCTAAACCCTAACCCTAAACCCTAAACCCTAAACCCTAAACCCTAAACCCTAAACCCTAAACCCTAAACCCCCAAATGGTTGAAGGTCTCTTCCTGGAATCTCAGGGGGTCCGTGGGGGCTCTCCCAGGTCCATCCGAGGGACGACCATGGCGGAGGCTTGTCCGGCAGGATGCTGCCTCGAAGGCTTTTTTGGGGGGGGCTTTTGGGGGGTTTAGGGTTTATGGTTTATGGTTTAGGGTTTAGGGTTTAGGGTTTAGGCTGAAGGGTTCCTGCTAGTGTTCTTACTTACGTGCTCTGAGCAGGGATTTGGCTTCTCATCTAGTCCCTTTCATGGATTCTGGCTGATGAGTTGCCCGTTTCTCAACTTCCTGACTAAGACCCCGTGAGTTAAGTGGGATCAAACCTTGACTACGGTACACGTTCTGAGCTCGGACTTTTTTTGCACCCTCTAGAGGACACCCAATACACCCGCCATAGTTCCTAAGGGAAAAATCCCGACACTCACCAGAACCACAATCAAGACACATATCCTCCTCAGCTAATCTAAACCTTAAACCCTAAACCGCAAACCCCAAACCCTAAACCCTTGGGTAATGCATGAAGTCCAGAAAGTGCAAGCCAGGAAGCTTCTCGCGGCATCTCTGAAGCTGCTCCTCCCGGCAGTTGGGGTTTAGGGTTTAGGGTTTGGGGTTTGGGGTTTGGGGTTTAGGGTTTAGGGTTTAGGGTTGCTGAAATTCACTGCAAGGATCGCCTCACATCACTCCCAGGTGGCCGGTGGCGGCTTATCCCGCACCGAGCTCCCTCGTGCGATGCTGTGAAAGAACAAAGAACCCGGTGAAGCTGGGAACCCAGGGTGTCCAAAACCCTAGACCCTAAACCCTAAACCCGAAACCCTAAACCCTAAACCCCAAACCCCAAACCCTAAACCCCCCTAAACCGTTAAACCCAAAGAAGCCAACTCCAAGCATGGGAATCCGGAAACCCGCAGGGCCAGGGACGGTTCCAGTGCCAAATTCTGGGCATGCTGCAGGGTTTAGGGTTTAGGGTTTAGGGTTTAGGGTTTAGGGTTTAGGGTTTAGCACCCAAGTAAGTATGGTAACTGTGATTATACTCCTGTTTCAGGTACTCATAACCCCTACGTATAGCTACCCGCGAACTTCCAAGCAACCCCTAGCTACTATTTGCTTAAGAACCCCCCCTCCCCCCCCACCAAACAAAGTCATCCCCTTATTACCCTTATAGGGAAGCTTTTTTTTTTTGGGGGGGGGGGTTCTTAAGCAAACAGTAGCCCCTAATACCCAAGACCCAAACCCTCAAATCCTCAACAGGCTGTCCACTGCTTCGCCAACCAGCCGTCACCCTGGAGCCCCCCCAAAAAGAGCCGAGCTTAGGGTTCAGGGTTCCAGATTCATGCACCCTAAAACCTCACCCACAAACCCTAAACCCCAAAAAAAACGAACCCCCCAAAACCCCACCACACCCCCCCCCCCCCCCCCCCCAAAAAAAAAAAAAAAAAAAAACTGTACTGTTCTGTACTGTTTAGGGTTTAGGGTTTAGGGTTTAGGGTTCAGGGTTCAGGGTTCAGGGTTCAGGGTTCAGGGTTCAGGGTTCAGGGTTCAGGGCTTAGGGTTCAGGGTTCAGGGTTCAGAGTTCCAAAAGCCCTAAACCCTCCAAAGACATGCCAACTTCAGGGTCTCCTTGGAGCGCTTGATGGATCCAGTCTTGTCACCCCTGGGCGGCCCAAAGGGGGCAGGGTTTCGGGCGTCTGGGTTGATACGGATGTTTAGGGCTCTAGGGGCTCTAGAGGCTCTAGGGGCTCTAGGGGCTCTAGGGTTCTAGGGGCTCTAGGGGTTCTAGGGGTTCTAGGGGTTCTAGGGCTTCTAGGGGCTCTAGGGGCTCTAGGGGTTCTAGGGGTTCTAGGGGTTCTAGGGGCTCTAGGGGTTCTAGGGGTTCTGGGGGCTCCACGGGTTCTGGGGGCTTCGGCTTTTAGGGTTTAGGATTTTAGGAGTTTAGCATATTAGGGTTTAGGGGTTTTTGGGGCGGGATTGGTGGTTCCTCTAGAACGTAAGCCTCTATGGGTTGTAGAGGGTTTCACAGGATGCTCGCAGTATCAACGCACACTTCGAGGTGGGACTGTGACTCGCCTTGAAGGAACCCTGAGAAGGTTATCTAAACCCCAAACCCTAAACCCTAAGCCCCAAGCCCTAAACCCTAAACCCTAAACCCTAAAACCCTAAACCCGAAACCCTAAACCCTAAACCCTGCGAACCCTGAGAGGGCCTGCGAAGCATGATCTCCGCGATGTTGTAGCTCGCCTGGGCCTCCTTCTCGATGTCATCCGCAGCGCGGGCCTTGCCACACTTGGAGGTTTAGGGTTTAGGGTTTAGGGTTTAGGGTTTAGGGTTTAGGGTTTAGGGTTTAGGGTTTAGGGTTTAGGGTTTAGGGTTTAGGGTTTAGGGTTTAGGGTTTAGGGGTTAGGGTCCTGGACCCTAAACCCTAAACCCAGTGATGCGGCACCCGCCTTTTCTTCAGCCTGCTCGGCGTACTTCAGCGCCTGGGCAGCGGGCCCGTCTACGCCCTAAAACCTTCAGACGGCGGTCCATCAGAGCTTCCCAAGTGCTAAACCCCAAACCCCGAGTTAGATCCCTCATGAACCCCTAAACCCCAGCCCATTAAACGAAAAAACAAGACTCTGGATTCGGATTTTGGGTTTAGGGCTTCCTAAGTCTTCCCAACCCTAAACACCCCCCCCCCCCCCCCAAAAAAAAAAAAAAAATAAAAATATATATATATACATATATATATATTACTTCGAACATCCCCACCCTCTCTTGGTAGAGATACTCTGGGGTTGGGCACTCCAGCAACACTCTGGGGCTGGGCACTCTGGGGACAATCGGTCCAGGGAGGACCGAGGGTGGGGAAAAAAAGAAAACTCTAGATTCGGATATTTAGGAACTCCCAAAACCCGAAACCCTAAACCCTAAATCCCCAAACCCCGAAACCCCGAAACCCCGAAACCCCGAACCCTAAACCCTCAAACCCCAAAACCCCTCGACCCTGAACCCTAAACCCTAAACGCCCCAAACCTGTTCTCAGCGCCCAGCATCGCCATCGTTCTGCGCGGAGAGGCAGGCCCCAACAAGGCGAAGGAGAGCTGCAGCCTAAGGGTTTAGGGTTTAGGGTTTAGGGTTTAGGGTTTAGGGTTTAGGGTTTAGGGTTTAGGGTTTAGGGTTTAGGGTTTAGGGTTTGGGGATTAGGGCTTAGGGTTTAGGGCTTCGGGTCTAGGGTTTAGGGTTTAAGGTCTAGGGTTTAGGGCTTAGGGTCTAGGGCTTCCGGGTTTGGGGTTGAGGGTTTAGGGACTAGGGCTTCCGGGTATAGGGTCAAGCTTAAGCCTGAGGCAGTTCAGGTATAGGGTGTAGGTTTTAGGGTTTAGGGCTTGAGGGGCCTAAGGATTGTGGGCTTGAGGGCCTGTACCTATTGAAACTCAGGTGGCTCAGGGCTGAACAAGTTGAAGGTTTTGGGGTGTCGGGTTTAGGGTTTAGGGCCCAAACCCCTAAACCCTAAACCCCAAACCCCAAACCCGAAACCCGAAACCCTAAACCCCTAAAGCCCTAAACTCCAAACCCAAAACCCAAAACCCTAAACCCCTAAACCCCAAACCCAAAGACCTAAACCGTCAGACCCTAGACCCTAAACCCTAAACCCTAAACCCTAAACCCTAAACCTAGCTTCACCCCAAAACCTTGAACCCCTAAAGACGACCCATTCAGAGGGCTAAATGCAGGGGTCGGATTAATCACGAATAGTATTATTTAGGCCCCTGTAGTGAGGGATCTAAAAAGATGTAGAACCCCCTGCCTCCTTGGACTGATCGCCGGTAGCCTGCCGAGTGAGCTTTGAAGGGTTTAGGGGGTTTGGGGGGTTCAGAGGGTTTAGGGTTTAGAGTTTAGGGTTTAGGGTTTAGGGTAAGAAAAGAGCTGTGAACGGCCGTGAAAGGGTCTATTGAGGGAGATTTAAAGGCATCTAGACCCAGGAGCAACCCAGGAACAAAAAGGGTGCCCTTTTTGGTTTCAAGCGGCTCGAAAAGGAACCTAAACCCGAAAGAAAGGGGAACAAAGACCTACTCTGGGTCAGCCATGTAGAGAGCGGGACATGTTGACAAACAACGCTAGTTTTCAAATTCTGGGTCATCTTTATAGGGAACTCAGGAATTGGGAGGGGTGAGAAATGAAGGGGCCGTGTAACTACCGTAACCCTGACCCAACTCCCTAAACCATAAACCCTAGTTCCTTATAAGGGCCCGTTTTAAGCCGAACGAAGACTTCCAAATCCTCGGCAAAGCCCAGATCCCGAAGCCTGCAATTCAAGGAGCATAACAGCCCTGAACAAAGTGTAGGGTTTACGGTTTAAAGCCCTCAACCCTACACCCTAAACCAAATTAACAACCCGGTGTAGCGGCTTGCAACCTAGTTCCCCTGAACCCGAACCCCTAAACCCTGGAGCCTTAACCCCAAACAACAAATCCTAACCCCCACGCCCTAAACCCCAATCCCCACTTGGAGGTTCATGGTACTTAGTAACTAATTATAACTGTACTTATACCCCGCTGATAAGCCTCTAAGCGCCCTAATATGGTTATGAGTACAGTTATTATTAGTTACTAAGTACCATGAACCTCCAAGAAACCCTGACCCCCAGGCCACGCGGCCTGCACCACGGCCAATGCTTCCTGTCCAGTAGCCAGCGCCTCCGATCCCTGAGAGCAATTTTTGTTGAGGGGGAGGGTTCAGGGTTTGGGATTTTGGGGATTCGGGTTTCGGGTTTGGGTTTAAGGTTTCGGGTATGCGTAGCTGCACAACTCAGAAAGCCTCTTGAGAATGCTCGACCCTGGACCGCAAAATTTGGGAAGAGGTTGAGTGTCTAAGGCTTTACAGGCTTCTGGGCTAAGGCAGGTCACGGCTGCGCGGCCACGACGGTTCCAGGGCTTGGGAACTACATTTCAAGGGTCTGGCCCCGCCCCGATACAGGGTTAGGGTTTAGAGCTGTTTAGAGTGTAGGGTTCCGGTGCTTTTAGGGTTGGTTTGAGGTTGAGATTTTGGCGCTTCAGGGTTCAGGGAGGGCTTAGCAGCATTTATTTATCTACAGGGGGGGGGGGGCTGGTAGGGGGGGGCTGGGGGGGGGGGCTGGGGGGGGCGGGGGGGTGGGGCGGGGTGCTACGTTGTAGGCAGCGAACCCAAAGCCCCTCAAACCAGATTCCGCACAGACCCTAAAGGCCTTCACCCCCCATTCGGCCCAAAAAACCCTACAACCCCCGAAAAGCCCTTAAGAACCCTGAACCCCAACCCTAAACCCTCCAGGCAAATCCCTAAACCCTCAAGCCCTCAAGCCCTAGACCCTAAACCCTACACCCTAGCCCTAAACCCTAAACCCTAAACCCTAAACCCTAAACCCTAAACCCTAAACCCTAAACCCTAAACCGCCGAAGGTCAAGGTCTGCAAGCTGTATGCCTTTGGTGCTCGTCTTGTATGGCTGCCGGAAGATTTTCTAACGGAAGATCTTTTCGCGGGCCCGTTGATCGACAGCGTCCTGGAACTCGCAGCGTCGTCGGAGAAGTTTATAACCTCGACACACTTGGCCAAGATGCCAACATGAACTTGTCAATCGTGCAATCCCTTGCAGGCTGTAGGGCTTAGGGTTTAGGGTTTAGGTTAAGGGTTCAGGGTTCAGGGTTTAGGGTTTGGTTTAGGGTTTAGGTTAAAGGTTCAGGGTTTGGTTTAGGAAAGAGGCACGCCCATCACCGAGATCTTCTAGGGTCTTAAGTTCGAACTTAAGGTGGCTCAAGGCTGTTAAACCCCCCCCCCCCCCCCGACATCCGCTCAACCCTACACCAGACCCGCATCACTTGCACTGTCCCTCATTCCTTCAAACCCTAAACCCTAAACCCCAAACCCCCTAAAAACCTTGCGCCCTGCCTGCTGCTTGCTCAGAAGGAGCTCGGACATGATCTGGAGCACTTCCAGCTCCCCATCCTGATGAACAAAATTGAAGGGTTTAGGGTTTAGGGTTTAGGGTTTAGGGTTTAGGGTTTAGGGTTTAGGGTTTAGGGTTTAGGGAGTTTAGGGTTTAGGGAGTTTAGGGTTCAGGGTTTAGGGTTTAGGGCTTAGGTTTTAGGGTTTACGAAATTTCTTGGCGGCCCAGTAACCACATTACAATAAGGGCACCTCTGTAGGGGGGTTATTAGGGTTAAGACTCAGAGTTCAGAGTCTTGGTTTAGGCTTACCCATAACTAAAAACAAGTAAGGGGCACCACTGGGCCACCAAGATTGAAGGGTTTAAGGCATAGGGTCAAAGATCAGAGGGTTCTGGCAGGTTTTAGGGTTTCAGGGTTGGGGTTGTTTTTATGTAGACGTAAAAGTGGCAGGAATAGTAGAAGTGGATGAAGCAATAGAGGTTGTAGTAGCTAAGGAGTAGGAGCAGGAGGGAATAGTTTTGAACCCTAAGCCCAGTTAAGAACTCGGCTGAGTTTTTCAAGCTTCAACGTTCGATCATTTGCGGGAAACGAGCCAAAGATCAAAGGCTTTTATGGGGCGGAGGGGGGGGGGGGGGGGGGGGGGGGGGGGTCGGGGCGCAGCTTTCCTAAGCCCTAAAACCCTAAACCCTGCAGTTTTGGGCGGAGGCGGCGCACCTTGTTTCCGTCCTCCTTCATGAAGGCACGAGCTTTCTTCAGGGCGTCCACGGCGCTGTTCACGCCTGGAGCATCCCCGAACCCCCCTGAACCCCGAAACTGTGAAACCCCTGAACCGCGTGGTAAGCCCCTACCTCACCCTAAACCCTAAACCCTAAACCCTAAACCCTAAACCCTAAACCCTAAACCCTAAACCCTAAACCTTATAAACCCTAAACCCTAAACTCTAAACCCTAAACCCTAAACCCACAAATCCCTTAGGCCGGTGAATTCTGTATAGGCCCTACACCAAAAATTCCTAAACACCGAGAACCCTGAAAACCCCTACTCTTGCATGTTAGAAGGGAAATAGGGCACTCGAATCGTCAACGAGATATTTGGCCGAACAGCGAACTCTTGAAAGAGAAATAAAATGGGCGGGGGGGGAGGGGGGGAGGTTGGTTCCGAAAACCCAAGCCATAAACTGCCATAAACGACCTTTCTGGGTTCCTACTAGCAGGATTCAAGTACTTTGAGGTCCCCCCCCCGTTGGGAAATGCCAACCCTGAACCCTAAACCTCTTGAAACCCTTGAAGTCATGATGGTGGGACCCTAGGGCGCTTTGTGGAGTTGCGGGCAAAGGCTTCACGGGTTTAGGGTTTAGGGTTTAGGGTTTAGGGTTTAGGGTTTAGGGTTTAGGGTTTAGGGTTTAGAGACTTTACTAGACCCAAGAGAAACCTAGGAATAACAAGGGGTTGCGGGTTTAGGGTCTGTGGTGACCCCAGAAAAGCACGTGCCCTTTTTGGCTTCACGGGGCTCCAAAAGGAACCTACACCCCAAAGAAAGGGGACTAAGGGCCTACTCTGAGTCCTAGTTTCGGGTACTCGGAGGTTCATGAGTAGATATCAGTAGGGCTATAAGTGCCCCTAACTAGGGTTGGACGTATAGTTGCCATACTTATAGCCCGACTTATCACTACCCAACTAGGCCCTAAACCCTAACCCAAAACCCAAAACCCAAACCCCAAACCCCAAACCCTAAACCCTAAACCCTAAACCCTTACCCCTAAACCAGAGGAGGCTTCGGGGATGCCTTGGTCTGGCTACACCCCACTTAGAAAGCCCTTGTCACTTAGTAAGTCGACTTGGTATCCCCGAGGAGCCCTAAACCCTAAACCCTAAACCCTAAACCCTAAACCCTAAACCCGAAACACTTGGCTGCACTTAACAGGGTAACAGGGTAGCTATAATTTAATTCTTAGCTGCCTTGTTATAAGAAACCCAATAAACCCAAAAAGGCTTCAAGGATCTAAAGTTGCCCGCAGAAACCAACGTGCGAACCCTACCTAGTAAGTCACAGGGCGTCCAAGTGTGAGTACCGAGTTTTGAAAGCACCCTAAACCCTGAACCCTTTAACCATAAACCCTTCAACCCTAAACCCTTAGACCCTAAACCCTCAGACCCTGAACCCTAGACCCTCAACCCTCAGACCCTAAACCCTAAACCCTCAGACCCTAGGCCCTAACCCTAAACCCTAAACCCTAAACCCGAACGAAACCCTAAACCCTAAACCCTAAACCCTTCTGCCGCACCTTTGCCGCCCATGGCGGCGTAGACCTGCGAGATGCCATACTCCGCATTGGCCTGCAGCGTGCCCCAGGGTTTAGGGTTTAGGGTGTGGGCGATTAGGCTACGGTTCGGGTTTAGGAATGAGGGAAGCCTTATCAATCCCTTGCAGGGGAAAAGGTGTTTAGTGTTCAGGGCTTCAGGCGCCTCAATGCCCCCTGAGGAATATAACCAGGCTTCTCCCCAAGAGTAGGGTTTAGGGTTTGGCTCAGGTTTGTCATCATCATGACCTAGACCCAAGAATACCCTAGGAAGAAAGGTGCCCTTTTGGCTTCAAGAGGCTTACAAGGGAACAGAAGGAAACCTAAACCGTTCTACAAAGCTGAATAAGGGCCTTCTCTGCGTCCTAAACCCTAAACCCTAAACCCTAAACCCTAAACCCTACACCCTAAACCCTAAACCCTAAACCCCTCTCTGGGTCCTAGATTTAGGTTTAGGGGACGCCCACTCTGGGTCCCGGCACGGCTGGACCTTTCGGGCACCCGGGAACCCTAAGCCCTACAAACCCTACCAACTAAATAGAAGTCAACAAATACTTCCCAAAACAAGTCGTGTGGTTTGCAGTTTCATGCTGACCTTATTGGGATAATTTCTGCCATACGAACTCTCAGGATGTCCAACACGTTCTAACGCCTCCCTTTCCGTTCTTGTGCGCCAGCACATCCGTTAAGAGTTTAGCGGAACAGGATCCCCCCAGGGACAATGGTTCAAAAAGAACTGACCATGAACTGTATCATTCCCCTTATGGCCAGGCCGAGACATCCGCGTCGTCATCGCACTCCCCGGCTGCTGTGAGCGGCATGTGCGGCATCTCACCCGATTCGCCCAATGCGAACCCTCAACCAAACCCCTACGCCCTACACCCTCCCCACCACGAGTGCATGACCTGAAAGTTCCTTAAGGGTGAGGTCGGTAAGTCCCAAGCATGGCGCTCTGAAACATTGGAATGGTCTAATTGAGCTTAGGGTGTGGGTTTAGTTTAGGGCTTGTTCTAAATTCGGGTGTTGAGGGTCCTTTCGGCATGGGCAGTTTTCATATGCAAGCTGCCTCTACTTAGTTCCCAGCTAGGAAGAAAAGAGGGGCTTTAGGGCTATTTCTGCACAGCTCCTGAATTTGAAACGCCGCGGCCTTCTCAGTCCCGGTCCCTTGGACGGCCTTTTCCAGAGCCTGCGTGGCTTTGGGCTTAGGGATTGTCACCACAATGATCTATAGCTGAGAGATCCTTGCAATCAGGGACATTCAGCAATTTTTGCTTATCTGGTATCCTGTTTCGTCTTGGGGTTCAGGGAGGTTCTTGTGGCAGCAGGGACGTTTAGGCAAATCCGTTTGGAGCCTGTGGCCCAACACGCTGAACCCTAAACCCTAAACCCTAAACCCTAAAGCCTAAACCCTAAACCCTAAACCCTAAACCCTAAACCGCAATCAGCTGCTTCAGTGAAGCAAGCCGGCCCACAGGTCTACGCTCCGAATAGTTAGCTAGACCCAAGAGTAACCTGGGGATGAAAACAGGGTACCCTTCTAAACTTTTTTAGGGTTTTGGGTTTAGGGTTTAGGGTTTAGGGTTTAGGGCATAAGGGAACCTAAACCCCTTAAAAAAAACAAAAAAGAGGAAATGAGGGCCTACTCTGGGTTCCTGGTTAGGGCTAGAGACCAGGTTTGTCATGCGGACACTTCCGATGCCTATGAGTGACGTCAACCTGAGGCCGTTGGCCTTCGGGCAGTAGGTCTTCAGGGATCCTGTTCCTGGCTGATGAAGGGGCCTAAATAATTAGAATAGGGTTTTGGGGGGGGGGGGATAATTTTGGTACAATTACAAAGGAACCATCAGGGAATACTATTCGGAATTTTTCCTAAACCCTAAACCCTAAACCCTAAATATTCCGACCCTTATATTAAAGTCATGGCCTGAAGAGCTTCGTCAAACTTCTGCTGCCTCGGTCGCAACGAGGCTGTTGGGCTCCCGGGTTTTAGGGTTTAGGGTTTAGGGTTTTAGGGTTTAGGGTTTAGGGTTTAGGGTTTAGGGTTTAGGGTTTAAGGTTTAGGGTTTAGCGTTTAAGGTTCAGGGTTTAAGGTTTAGGGTGGTTGGAAACATGGGCCCTTGCTATGGTCCCTTACCCCTGCTTAGAGGGGATTTCAAGGGATCCGAAGTGTGGGCCACCCTAAACCCTAAACCCTAAACCCTAAACCCCAAACCCCTTCTCATGTATAGTTTACATAAGGGTTGACTAAGGGCGCATACTTCGGATCCCCTATTGTTGGAAGTTTTTCAGGGTTTTTTTGTGGTTTGAGGTTTGGGGTCTAAACCCTAACCCGTAACCCCTAAAACCTAAACCCTAAAACCTAAGATGTTGCGGCTTGATGACAGCAGCATGGCGGCCGCACGGGTTTAGGGCTTAGGGTTTCCCATAATATGCTCCCAATATGGCCCGTATATATTCGTTTAGAGGATCTTTCAATAAGTTCCCCAAACCCAAGGGTACAACCTTAGGGGTCGAAGGTAGAATCTCATGACAGCAAGGCGAGGAGATGCTGACACAACCAGGAATGCTTGCGACAAGGGTTTAGGGTTTTAGGGGGTTTAGGGTTTAGGGTTTAGGGTTTAGGGTTTGGGGTTTGGGGTTTGGGGTTTGGGGTTTGGGGATTAGGGTTTAGCCCTAGACCCTCAAGCCGAAACCCTAAAACCCTAAAACCCTCTTCCCGGGCGCGCAGGCGAGAGGTACAACATCGCCATGGAGCGAAGGGCAGTCACGGTGCCAGCCTTGAACGATGAGACCCGCATGCGAGTTTAGGGTTTAGGGTTTAGGGTTTAGGGTTTAGGGTTAGGGTTTAGGGTTTAGGGTTTAGGGTTTAGGGTTTAGGGTTTAGGGTTTAGGGTTTAGGGTTTAGGGTTTAGGGTTAGGTTTAGGGTTTAGGGTTTAGGGTTTAGGGTTTAGGGTTTAGGGTTTAGGGTTTAGGGTTTAGGGTTTAGGGTTTAGGGTTTAGGGTTTAGGGTTTAGGGTTTAGGGTTTAGGGTTTAGGGTTTAGGGTTTAGGGTTTGGGGTAAACCTTACCCAGGACATTAGGGAGTCAGGTGCCTTTTGTCCGCCCATACAACTCTTTAAGGGACTATAAAGGGTCCATAGCGTACCTACTTCCCTACTTCCCTACTTCCCTACTTCCCTACTTCCCTACTTCCCTACTTCCCTAAACCGCGAAAAAATATGGGGAGCTTCGAGCCCAGCTCCCGAAGCTGTCGGCCAGATGAAAGTGCTTATGGCGCCCGGGAATGCAGAACCAAGCAACAACATGGGGGGGTGTTTCCGACAATGGGGGGGGGGGGGGGGGGGGGGGGGGTACCCTTTTTGGGGTTGGGGCTCCATTTAAGGGGGCTCCATTCTATTTGGGGTGGAAAAGGAGGTGCCCCCATTTCGGGACCCATTGAAGACTGGCCATAGTGGTATAGTATTGCGATGTTCCCCCTTATACGAACAGTCCGTAGCAAAATTATACTCTGGGGTACTATAATCCCCATTCAGGACTGTCAGTAGAAGGGGAACATCCCAAGTACAGCATACTTGTATTCGCAGCATGCCACGGCATAATATAGTAAATTCGTAACACATAAGGGGTACAGTATATTCAAATTAGGAACATATACGGGTCTAGTATATTCAAGTAGTAACACATAAGGGTATAGTATATTCCAAATTCGTAGCAATAATACTACAGTACATTCCGATGTGTAACAAAACTGGTATAATACATTCATGTTCGGAAGAATAGCGGTACCGTATCTCTATATTAGTAACAAACAAAGCAAAGATAATGGCAAGATTCGCTTACATTTGTAGCATGCAAGGCTAATAAAGTATCGTAACATCAACGCTCAAAAGCTCCCTCATAAGTAGCAAAGCAGTGAACCCTGACTGCCATCTGAATAAAAGCCCGTGGAAGCTCTGTGAACCTCGCGATTGCAAACCCTAAACGCTGTAAACATGGATTCGGGAGGACGAGGAGGGGGCTGGTGTGACAAATAAATGTGGGTGTCCGAAGTTCAGGGGTACCTAATTGGGGTCCTTGGTTTGAGGAAATGCTACTATGTGGGGTCCACATTACAGGCCCCGCATTTTCGTAAACCCAAATTTCTCTGGGCTTTATCGCGCCGCAGTTCAACATCTGCAAGTCGCCTATGGGACTGGTGAACCTGCCTTGTCTCCGCTCGCCGTAAATCCTGCGACGGCCTGGCGAACCCACACAGGCTTATAGAAGTTTACAGGGTGCATAGGGTTTACAAGACTTATAGAGGTTATAGGGGTTCATAGGGTTTATAGTGCTCAAAGCTTTCGTGCCTCAAAGAAGGAACCCCCAAAAATGGTCACATAAGGCGTTGATCTCAGTAACCGGACCCTGGGGTATTTTAAACCTGATAGAGCACACATTGAACCCTCAAAAACATAACCCCCGAACCCCCAAGGGGCTCATGTTCCGGGATCGGAAAAGCCTACAGCTACGCTCTAAAGCCGTCGCACACACCCTAACCCCGACACCCTACACCATCCCTAAACATTGGGTTTGGGGAGGTTTATGCATACTGTCGCTGCGGACATCAGAGAAAGAAGCACGCCAAGATGCGTAGGACGCAAACTAGAAGAGTTCACTAACAATTCAGGCGTTGCGGCCGCTTTCGGGCCTGCCTGGTTTAGGGTTTAGGGTTTAGGGTATAGGGTATAGGGTTTAGGGTTTAGGGTTTAGGGTCCCCCCAGCACCCTCAGATCATGAGACCAACACCTCTAAGCTCTAAGCGCTGGCTGGGACTGCTTTCCCCTTCATGCTGCCTCTTCCACAAGCGTCCGGGCGCCCTCCATCGCGCCCATGGCGTAGAAGACTGCGGCTAAACGGAGGAGGCATGGCGGCTCCTGCGCATGGAGTCGATACAAAGCTTAGGGGTTAGGGTTTAGGGTTTAGGGTTTGGGGTTTAGGGTTTAGGGTTTAGGGTTTAGGGTTTAGGGTTTAGGGGTTAGGGTTTAGGTTCATGGTACTTATTAACCGAGTATAACTGTACTTATAACCCACTTATAAGCCCCTCAGGTGCCCTAACGTAGGTAAAATGTGGGGTTCTCTAAGTGCAGTTCTTACTGGTGAATAAGTACCATGAACCTTCAAGTATATGAGTAGGCTCACAACCTAGAACACGTGAAAGCACCCCCTGGTGCTGCAGAAAGAGTGCGCAATTAATACGTTGGGCGCATATTGGATTGGCATGGGTATGGGCAGTTGAGAAAAGATAAGACTTGGGATTTTGCCCCTTATACTAACAAGTCCTTAATAGGGATTACAATAAGGGGGGGGGGGGGTTATATAATCCCTATTAAGGACTGCTGGTATAATTAAGGGGGAACACCCCAAATTGGTACTGATCTAGGCTCCTGTGTGCAGGGTCGGGGGCGGAGGAAGCCGTGAGCTTTTGGCACTTTTCCGTTAGGCGAACTTGCGGAGCTCCCCCGCATTCTGCGCGGCCCACTGTCCCAAACCCAGACACCCTAAACCTCCACCCAAAACAAAACGAAAATAGCCAAAGGTCCTAAACAACCCAGAACTGAATTGACTAGATCCCAGAGCAACCTAGTGTGTGCCATGAACTCTCACCCCGAAAAGCCAGGAGCAGAAAGGGTACCGGGTACCTTTTTTTGTCTCAACGGGGAAGGGGGGGGGGAGGGAAATGACCATGGGTGATTTCAAGTAGGGTTTTTCAAGTACCCAGAAAATGGAGTTACAAGTATAGTCGCCGTACTTCTAACCCTACTGATAACTACCCACGAACCTCCAAGGAGGGTTTAGGGCTGCAGGAACTCCGAACCCTAAACCCTAAACCCTAAACCCTAAACCCCGAACCTCAAGCCCCGAACCCTGACCTCCTTCTTGTTCCCCTTGACCTGCTCCCGGATTTCCTGCTCCACCTTTGCGGCCTTCGGTTTCGAGGGCTACTTGGAGGTTTAGGGTTTAGGGTTTGGGGTTTGGGGTTTGGGGTTTGGGGTTTGGGGTTTGGGGTTTGGGGTTTGGGGTTTGGGGTTTGGGGTTTGGGGCTTAAGTACCCTAAACAGGGCTATTACGTATAGTTGCCACACATATAATCCTACTTATAACTACCCATGCACCTTTAAGTAATGGTTTATACCCTAAAGAGGTACAATACCCGGCAGAATCCCTGAAAACAGGTCGGGAACAGACCTTCAACGTTACATTCCCGATTGCGAATGGGCTCTGTTCCCTAACTAAGCGGTCTTGGGCTACCTGGCCCTAGGATCTAAACCCTAAACCCTCAGCCCCTACTAGCGAAACCCTAAACCCTAAACCCTAAACCCTAAACCCTAAACCCTAAACCCTAAACCCTACATGCTAAACCCTAAAACCCTACTACCTGGGGGATTTCAGGGCTTCGGGAAATGGGGTGGGAACTGTGACGCGCTCAGGGCGGCGTAGATGCCTGGCCTCTTCCCGCTGGCCATTGGCCAGATGGAACTCCAAAATGTCCTTTTGGGGAGTTCTACCCGAAATTCTTCTTTGCTTGGTTTTATATGTTTGTTTTGGAAATATTATGCCCTTTTGGGGAGTTTGGGGTTGAGGGCTTTGGTAGTTTGCGCATTTAGGGTCTACTTGGAGGTTCACGGTACGGAAAAATCACCTGTAAACTTCTTTAGGGTACTTATAACCCTAGTTGCAACTACCCATGAGCCTCCAGGTAGTGTTTAGGGTTGGTGTACATCGTGTCGGGAGGTCAACTCGCTCGCTCTCTCAGGCCTTTGGAGGAGGTACTGCCCTAAACCCTAAACCCTAAACCCTAAACCCTAAACCCTAAACCCTAAACCCTAAACCCTAAACCCTAAACTTAAACCCTAAACCCTAAATCCTAAACCGTGCAGGGCTTCCGTCACGGGGGACCATATTCTAATCAGGGTATCCTGTTTGGGGTTGGTTACTGTGGAAGGGAACCTAGACTCCAAAAAAGGGGCAAAAAGGGTACCACTGGGCTACCAAGCGAACTATAAACTGCACAGGGTTCTGCAATATGGAGATTAGGGCCAATTGAAATCGAAACTGTGTCCCAGTCAACTCTAGGAGCACTTGACTTATAGCAATCACGTCAGGGCCTTGTGCAGTGCTGACGCCATGCGCTACCCGAGTTAGGTAGCCTAAATCATCCAGGTTATTTTGATATAGAGCGGACATAGCGTACCTCATTCTACCAACAGGTCCCTACCAAGAACTGAAACTCCACAACCCCAATTGGTGCGTCTAAGCTGTCAGATTCAAGAGCCCCTTAAGTGCCATAACATGGTTATAAGTACAGTGATAATTGGTTCATAAGTACCATGGACCTCCAAGTAGGGTTTGGGCTTCAGGGTTTGTGACTTGAGGACTCTTGCCTAGTTGGTTGTTGGTGCAGAATTTTAACAAAATCATGTCCATTCCTTACTGAGATTCGGTACCCTCTACAATGAAAAATGTTCCCCCACCATGACAAAGTTGCTATGGATGGCCATCGACAAACACGAGTAAAGCCTTGAGGAACGGGCCTGATCCTAGTGCAGCTATGCAAGCCGGTATCTGAGTCATCCAAGGTCTAGGGTCTAGGGTTTAGAGTTTAGGGTAACCTTTTGAGTGCGGAGGGGGGATTTGTAGAGGGATGGGGACTGCGTGTCCTTCATCACATCTTCCGCTTCCCGCGTGTCGCCCACCTGGTCTCTGCGAGGAAGAGCACCAGCTTCACGCGAGAGTGGAAGACTTGACAGGGCTACTAAGCCTAAACCCTAAACCCTAAACCCTATACCCTAAACCCTAAACCCTAAACCCTAAACTCTCCTCAAGATCAACATGATGCACGTTGTGGCTAAAATGTCTAGAACAAGGAAGCGCTGTTTCAAGAAAAGCGGCAATAGCACCAGGCACCAAACTAGCACCCCCAACACCTTCAATAACCCCCCCCAAATCCATACGTAAACCCTCGCCTACTGTAAACTCTAAACCCGAAGCATTGAATGAAAACTCGAGATTGACATCCTAAACCCGAACTACAACCCCAACGCCCGAAACCTTGACCACAACCACAGCAACACGAAATACATGAGCCCCCAACCATTCTCAACCCTAAATGCAAAGCCTGGAACATCAACAAAGAAGACCTTGCGAATGCACGAAGTTTTATCCCTAGTATCCCCAGAAATGGATACACAACAGTAACATGTACACTAACCAGTATCTACAAGGAGCCACATGGCATGCTAAACCCTAAACCCCAAACCCTAAGCCCCAATAACGGCAATATCGAGCCTATCTTGGGATGGTCCCTCTTACACTAACAGTCCTCAATACGGACTCTAGTAGCCCTAAACCCTAAACCCTTATAATTAATCCCTCCTAGCTGCACCCTAAACCCTTACACCCCCTGCCCGGACCTCTTTGTACAACGCGGCAACCTCCCTGAGAGACTTGGGGAGCGTCTCGATAGCCTCGAGGACATCTCCGAAGAGGGCTTGGGGAGTTTAGGGTTTAGGGTTTGAGGTTCAGGGTTCAGGGTTCAGGGTTCAGGGTTCAGGGTTCAGGGTTTGAGGTTCAGGGTTTAGGGTTTCAACCATGCACTCCCCCACCCCAATGGCCTGGGCCGACTTAAAAACATGCACAGCGTGCAGGAAGCAGGTTTAAATCAATCACGCAAGCCAGTCCCGCCTGTGGGTTCAGGGCCTAGGGTTTGTTTAAGCGCATGGAGCCCAGAACCCGGTTTAGGGTTTAGGGTTTAGGGTTTAGGGTCTAGGGTCTAGGGTTTAGGGTTTAGGGTTCAGGGTTTAACTGTGAGCCTTCCGATCTTCCTGGAGTACCTTCACGTGCACCGCGAGGTAGCTCGCCAAAGCCTGCGCCTTCTTGTCACCGGCCTGGCAAAGGGGCCCCTAAAGCCTAAACCCTAAACCCTAAACCCTAAACCTTAAACCCCAAACCCTAAACCCTAAACCCTAAACCCTAAACCCTAAACCCCAAAGCCCAAGTGAGCGGAGTCTACGGATTTAGGACTGAGGGCTCCAGAGCGGGCGTTTGGCAAGATACAGCTACAGTGCCCAGGGTTTAGGGTTTAGGGTTTAGGGTTTAGGGTTTAGGGTTTAGGGACAGGTACAGTGCCCAGAGAGCCCCATAGGGCTTAAGGATCCCTCATTAGGATTTTAAGGGTTTAGGGTTTAGGGTTTAGGGTTTGGGGTTTGGGGTTTAGGGTTTAGGGTTTAGGGTTTAGGGATTTTCAAGTATGTTTGCAGTTACAGGAGCCCTATATGGTTCACTTCTCTAGATTATGGACCGTTTTGGGCTATTATTTTTAGGCAGCCCCTAATATTTACGGTTCCCAAAAAGGGACCGTTATCTTGAGAAATGACCATATGGTTCACAGACCTAAAGCCTAAATCCTAAACCCCTGGGGGTTTAGTGCTTAGGGCTTAGGAACCCTAAACTCTAAACCCTTTAATAAGAGGCTCTCTTTAGGTAATCTAGGGGCCTTAATAATTAGAATAGGCTTCTTTTTTTTTTTGGGGGGGGGGGGGGGGGCTTCTTCTAGTAAATTTATGAAGGGACTCTAAGGGAATATCATTAGTAACTATTCCGACCCCTATACTACCGAGGAAGGCTGTGCGGGTTTAGGGTTTAGGGATTAGGGTTTAGGGTTAGGGTTTGGGGTTTGGGGGTTGGGGCTTGGGGCTTGGGGTTTGGGGTTTGGGGTTTGGGGTTTAGGGTTTAGGGTTTAGGGTTTAGGGTTTAGGGTTTAGGGTTCAGAAACATTGGAACTTGAGGAGGAGCCATCACGCCATCAAGCCCGCTGCTTTATCTCCTTTGGTGCCGGCGCCGCTCTGTTGGTCATGTCGCTAAGCTATGCGGTTTAGGGTTTAGGGTTTAGGGTTTAGGGTTTAGGGTTTGGGGTTTAGGGTTTAGGGTTTAGGGTTTAGGGTTTAGGGTTTGGGGTTTAGGGTTTAGGGTTTAGGGTGCCTTTGCTTGGAGGTTCACGGATAATTATAAGTAGGGTTAGGAGTACCCTGAATGGGGCTAGAAGTATAGATACCATCACCATAACCCGAAACCCTAAACCCAAACCCTAAACTACCCATGAACCTCCAAGCCTCCAACTATGGGCCTCATTGAAGGGGTATTGGTTCCGTGGTTGAGTGACACTGAGAAAACTCAGCCAAGGAAGTACGGCACCTACTCTTTGGGGGTTTGGGGGGGTTACTATAGTATGATTACAATTAGGGACCATAAGGGGAATGCAATTAGCAACTAATGTTAGACCCAGATTAGTGGGGGCCTCCTCTTTAAAGTCAATTTGGCCGAATTATTCAGGATCTCGTGACTGTTGGCGGGGTCCTCTTTAAAGTCAAACCGTCCGGGCGTCGTAAGAAAATTCCACGTGGCGCGCCTTTAAAAAAGATAACCGGGCATCGCTGCCCCTTTGAAACCTATCTAAACTCCTCCCTATTGAAATCATATAAGCCCCCGGGGCCGTGTAATCAGGCTCCCATCCACGCCTCGACTGTTCAGGGGGGCGGGGGGGGGGGGCCCCCCACACTAATCAGGGTCCAACATTACTCCTAAACCCTAAACCCTACACCCTAAACCCCATACGTCGGCTCACGCGGCGTTCGTGCCGTTGCGGACCTTTGCCAGCTGATCCGCCTGGGGCTTGTTCTCCACAACAGGCTTTCTCTACTGGAATTTCAAGTACTCCTTCATTAGGGTTTAGGGTTTGGGGTTTGGGGTTTAGGGTTTAGGGTTACAGGGTTCTTTAAACCATAAGAGCCAAGTTACTTCCTGAACCCAAGCACTGGGCTTTCTTGGTGCGCTTGCGCGAGGGATAAGGGATTCAGGAACGAGTTCTTGTTGTGGCTTGGGGCTCTGCAGGGATTAGGGTGCGCTGGTCATCTGATCAAGACTAACCCTAAACCCTAAACCCTAAACCCTAAACCCTAAACCCGCTAGACATCTTGCGCTGCCAGGGGTCCCTCCCTGCATCCTTCGAGCACAAACAAAGTGCCATTTCTCCATCACTTGCACGCGAACCCTCCTTGCAAGGGGACCTGCTTTGGCTAGGCTTCCCAGCTGGCAGGGAAACGTAGCAAAAACATGTGGGGGTTTACCAAATTACGGGTACCGTATTGGTGTCCTTATCATAAGGGGATCTACCATTTGGGCGTCCATATTTGGGTCCCCAAGTTTCGTAAACCCGTCTAAATAAGTGGGGTTTAGGGCTGAAAGTGGGAGGGACTGAGCCCCGAAGAAAGTGGTTGCCCTACTACCCCCGTCTATACTACCCCCCCCCCCCCCAAGGTTCCCCCCGTAATTGAGGCTATGTAGGGATAATTCAGCCGAATTAAGGGTTATTTCAGTGGGGAACCTAGGATGAATTAAGGGTTCCTGAGCAAGCGTTGCAGAGGGGAACCTCCAGGACCATGCTAATGTGCAGTGTGGGTTTAGGGTTTAGGTTCAGGGATTAGGGGTCACATGGTACATGGTGATTTGCAAGGACAAAACCGATGCAGGGCTACTTGCCGTGACAAAACAAGAATGCTTTGGGTCAAGGATGTTTTGGATCAAGGACAAGCACCCTAAACCCTAAACCCGAAATCCTAAACCCTAAACACCGAGTGCAATGCTTTGCCGCCCCGTGGCCGTTCCAACAGCGAACGTCTCGGTCATGACCTTCACGTCCCTCAGAGGCACGCGGCCCTCCACCCTCGTGCCGTAAAGCGCAAGCCCTGGATCCTGCTAGTTTAGGGTTTAGGGTTTATGGTTTATGGTTTAGGGTTTAGGGTTACGAAGAGTCGTAGGCATTCAAATCATCATACCAACCCAGAGGTCGTAGCGCTGTTGTCCGGCGACCGGCAAAATACCTCGGTGCCCTGCCACGTAATGTTCGCTTATCATGAATAACCCCTTTCCTGATGGATTCAGTCGGGGGCCGAAAAAAGATTGCAGAAAGTTCTGGGTCTTAAAGGGGCTTATACCCCCATGGTGCAATCATTGTGCCCCCCTTATACCGCCCCCCTTATACCCTAAAGCCTAAACCCTGAACCCCTTTGTTTGGGAGGGCCTGTTTTCTCTCAAGGGCTGTGGGGGAGGTTCTGGGCATCTTCCCAGGGCCTCTTCCGGGGCTCTCCGGGGACGGCACCGAAGAGGTCCCTAAACCCTGAACCCTAAACGCTAAACCCTAAACCCTAAACCCTAAACCCTAAACCCTAAACCCTATGAAACTGCCACTTTTTGAGTTCCCAGACAGGTTGGTTCTCTGGTGTAGGAAAATAAACGAATCGGAGCAGGTGCGGCCTAAGTCATCGCCACCTTTCCTTTGGGAGCTTACAAGGGTTTAGGGCCTAGGGTTTCGGGCTTAGGGTTTAGGGTTTAAGGTTTAGGGAACCTGCGGCAGATGTGCCGCCCCCATTGTTGTGATCGTTTAGCTTAGAAATGCAATAAAAATGTTTGGGGATTCGGGCTTTAGGGTTCTGGGGTTTAGTGGGACTCCCAACTCCTCTGCGAGCTTCCTGGGTAGTAACTACCCCGATAGTTGTTAACAAATGCAGACAGAAGAGCGCCACGAGGGATGCGCCTTTAGCCTACAGCTGCCCGTGCTTACAACACTGCGCTTGGTTGTTCCGTACCCGTCTTTAGAAGGATCTTACTATGCGGGCCCGGTTATTGCAAACACCTGCTGTGGCGAAGGTTGCTTAAAGGGGCTTATAAGGGAACCTAAGCCCTAAAACAAGCGAATGAGGGCCTACTCTGGGTCCTAGTTGCTACAGCGGGAACGTCCCCGCCTTCTGGCATGGTTCAGGGGCTTAAGTACCCACCTTAAGCCTTCGCAGCCATGATCCCTCCTCCGAAAACACTCAAATTCAAACCACTACGCCGCAGATTCCTGCATTCTAATCGAAGCCTCTTTCGATCAGAGAACCAGCCAGCCACGGGAGCCGAGCAGCTTTGTAAGATTCTCCCAGTTCTGCGCGGGCGCTGAGATGTCCACGATCCAAAGGACCTGGTTTCTAGGAAACCCTAAGCCCTAAACCCTAAAGCCTAAACCCTTGGGTTTGTAGAGTTTGGGGTCTGAGTTGGACGACCCTCATGATGAATGTTCATGAGGTTTCTGAATGGCGGAAAGCCTTAAAGTCTAACTATGTTCCCCAGCAACCGAGGGAACCCATGCAAGCTTCACAAGGTTGCGAGGGAACCTTAAGCACTGAACAGGGAAAAGTACTCCTTTCGGCGTTCGAAGACAAAATTGCATGCTGGCTGCTCGATGGGTGAAGTTCACGCAGGCTGCGAGCCACTAGCAAGCGGCAAATCCAACCCCAAACCCTAAACTGTCAACTCGAAACCCTAAACCCTGAAAATCCCATAAACCCTAAATAAACCCTAACTCCTAACCCCTAACCCCTAACCCCTAAACCCTAAACCCTAAAACCCAAAAACCCTAAGCCCTAAAACCCAAAAACCCTAAGCCCTCAGCCCCGGTCCCAACCCGAAGGGTACCTCTGCGAAGGCATCGCGGTCCTGCATGCCTGGCCTGCGGTTTAGGGTTGAGGGTTTAGGGTTTAGGGTTTAGGGCTTAGGGTGTAGGGTGTAGGGTTGAGGGTGTAGGGTTTAGGGTGCAGGGTGGAGGGTGTAGAGCTTAGGGTTTAGGATCTAGGGTGGCAAAAGGGATGATGTAGGTGAGTATGACCGGAGACACCCGTATCTTCTCAGGAATGTTCCTTAAGCCGGGCTGGGAAACCTAATTACTACAATTTTCGGGGATTTTGTCCCCCAAGTGTTGTGGAAGTTGCTCTGGTATTTCTCTGGAGGTTTCAAGGCTTAGAATCAGGATCCGGGGTGTGGGGTTTGGGGTTGAGGGTATAGGGCTTACGCGGGCTTCGGGCTTCGGGCTTCGGGCTTGGGGCTTCGGGCTTCGGGCTTCGGGCTTCGGGAAGGAGATTCATTGGGTTTTACTAAACCCTAAACCCTAAACCCTAAGCCCTGAACCCTAAGCCCTAGACCTAGACCCTAGACCCTAGACCCTAAACCCTAAACCCTAAGGCAGATTATGGTGTAGAGTTGCGGGTTCTCGAGCCCAGGAGTTCGTTTGTTTGGCACCTGCAAGAAGGGCTCCGAGAAAGAGGCGTGGACAGCCGCTAGGGCCGTTTCATGGGTTTAGGGTTTAGGGTTTAGGATTCAGGGTTTAGGGCAAACTGGACCACTGTCTAGACAACAGACTTGGAGGTTCATGGATCGTTAAAAGTAGGGTTTGAAGTATTGGAACTATACTTCTAACCCCACTTAGGGCACTTATAACCCTACTTATAATTACCCATGAACCTCCAAGTCAACCCCCAAACCCCAACCGAGCTTGGGATTTGCAGTGCAATCAGAACACAGAAATCCCCAGAATCCCTAAACCCTAAACCCTATACCCCAGGACGGCTTGGCTGCCGGGCTCTGGGGTTACCGTCTGGATTGTCAAGTGGCGGAACTTCCTTGGCTCGTGCTTTGGCGTTGGTCGTTGGGCTGTAGGGCTGAGAGTTTAGGGGGTTTAGGGTTTAGGGTTTCGGGTTTAGGGTTCTAGACACTCGAGGCTTCCGGCTTTAGAACGACCAGATTTCGGGTTTAGGGCTCAAGGCGAAACTGGGCTTTCGGTGAGTGCTTTAAGTTGAGGGCGCAGGGTTGGAAAGATGAAACAAGCAAACCTGGACCCTAAACCCGGAACCCCAACAACCTAAACCCTAAACCCTAAACCCTGAACCCTGAACCCTGAACCCTGAACCCTGAACCCTGAACCCTAAATCCTAAGCAACAAGAAATGGGCTGTTGAAGCAGTCTCAGCTTCTGGGTCGGCAGGATCTCGCCCGTGTCACCCCTGGCAAGCAGAGGCGGAGGGTCTAGGGTTTAGGGTTTAGGGTTTAGGGTTTAGGGTTTAGGGTTTAGGGTTTAGGGTTTAGGGTTTAGGGTTTAGGGTTTAGGGTTTAGGCTCTAAGGTTTGGGCTTTGCGGTCAACGCAGGGAAGCCCCAATCCGGTAAACCCGCCTTGCGTAGTGCTTGGGCTCCAGCGGAGCCCTAAAGCCCTCACCCTAAACCCTAAACCCTAAACCCTAAACCCTCAACCCTAAACCCTAAACCCTAACCCTAAACCCTATACCCTAAACCCTATACCCTAAACCCTAAACCCTCAACCCTGCTTGTGCGCCTTCAGTCAGGGGGGGGGGGGGGGGGGGGTACAGGGATTAGGCTCTGCAGCTGCTGTCACCCTTCGGCTGAAATCCCTAAACCCTAAACCCTAAACCCTAAACCCTTAAACCCTCTAGGGTCTAGCATTCAGGCTCAAGGCATGGGGTTTAGGGTTTCTGTCCTTAACCCGTCATCTCGACAGCAAGAGAGCAAGGTGCCTTGTGCAAATCTTGCCGTTGGAGCCGTAGGT